AATTTTTGAGTTGGAGTTTCACGCTTGTCACCCAGGCTAGAGTGCAATGGTGCAATCTTGGCTCATTGCAACCTCCGCCTCCAAGGTTCAAGTGATTCTGCTCCCTCAGTCTCCTGAGTAGCTGAAACTACAGGTTCCTGCCACCATGCCTGGCTCATTTTTGCATTTTTAGTAGAGACGGGGTTTCACCTCATTGGCCAGGCTGATCTCGAACTCCTGACATCAGGTGATCTACCACCTTGGCCTCCCAAAGTGCTAGGATTACAGGCGTGAGCCACCGCACCTGGCGCTTTTATGGTTTATTGAGTGCCTCCAGAGCTGGAGGACACGAGGATGAGTGAGTCATTAGCCAAAGTGGACAGACAAGTCCAGGCACTAAGCACAGCAGCATTATAAGGCGGCAGTCACAACTCCAGTAGGGCGGCGCAATGTGGCCTCAGGCCCACCCTGGCCTTCTCCTTCCTGAAATGGCAGCTGCACGAAGGGGGAAGGCAGAGCTGGAGTGTCCCCCGGCTATACTTGGAGGCACTCCAACAGACATGAAGCCTCAACACAGGAAGAAACCAGGCCTCCAATGTAGCTCTGGGCAGCTGTCAGCAGAGAGCTGTCCGAGAAGAGAGGCCCACCTGTCATCTCATCCCACCTGTCCTTAATGACCAGGCCAAGGGTCCTGAGAAGTCATCACACTGCTTGGGCATCAGTTTACTCATTTGCAAATTGGAGTTGCTCCACCTGCCCTGCCTAGCTCACAAGGGTGTTCTGTGCTAGGAGGAAAGACAGTAAATCCAGCTGGGCGTGTGACTCACGTCTATTATCCCATCACTTTAAGAGGCTGAGGCAGGCAGATCACCTGAGGTCAGGAGTTTAAAACCAACCTGGCCAACACGTTGAAACTTCCTGTCTCTACTAAAAATACAAAAATTAGCCAGGCGTGGTGGTGCGTGCCTGTAATTCCAGCTACTCTAGAGGCTGAGATAGGAGAATTGCTTGAACCCGGGAAGCGGAGGTTTCGGTAAGCTGAGATCGAGCCACTGCACTCTAACCTGGGCAACAGTGAAACTCTGTTTCAAAAAAAAAAAAAGAAAGTAACATCCTTACTGGGTCTCTGGCCCTGAGACTGGCTCTCTCCACACAACCCTCTCACCAGTGTGACCACCAGCCTGCGCATAGTGAGCCCTCAAGATTTGTGGCTAGAAGTCCTGAGGAATAGACCGGAGTTGAGTGTGTGGGCAGCCACAAGGTCCAAGTTCTCAAACCCCATCACTTACTCCTTGCAAGGCGTGGCGGGCCCAGCTCTGACAGAAGCCTAGGGTGAGGGGTCTCCCTCCTCTCCAGACTCACAGCCTGAGAGTACTAGGAGACCCAGCTCAGCTTCTGGGCCCATGCATTTCTTTCATTCCTTTCCTTCCATCCTTGATTCCCCATCTGGAGACAAGGGATCAAAGTTCCCATATGCCGTCTGACCTCTGCACCAGACCTGCCCTCATCGAGCCTTCCCTGGAAGGGCCTGAGGAAACCTGTGGCTGGAGCAAACCAAGCAACTCACCCATATCCGTACCATTGGCTGACTCTGGCTAATAGGGCCTGGCTCCCAGAACCTCACATCTGCCCCTAAGGGTTCCTCTGGCAAGAACAGGGTGACCTAGGTCATACCTTATCCCCATTACCACCTGATGACCCAGGAGGGCTTTAGCCTAGTTCAGCTGCCATAACCTTGACATTCCTGGGTGGTTTCCATAATCTGCCAGTCAGTTTTCCCAATCGTGTGTGATTTTTGGGGGGTAGAGGAGGGTCTGCTACAAAACTATATATATAAATAAAAAATAATGTATATGTATATACACACATACACATTTGAGGTAACTGTAGATTCACATACAGTTATAAGAAATAGTACAGAGAGGCCTGGTGCTGTGGCTCACACCTGCAATCCCAGCACTTTGGGAGGCTGAGGCAGGGAGATCACCTGAGGTCAGGAGTTTGAGACTAGCCTGATCAACATGGTGAAACTCCATCTCTACTAAAAATACAAAAATTACCCAGGGATGCTGCCAGGCACCTGTAGTCCCAGCTACTTGGGAGGCTGAGGCAGGAGAATCGCTTGAATCCTGGAGGCAGAAGTTGTAGTGAGCCAGGATAAAGCCACTGCACTCCAGCCTGGCCAACTGAGTGAGACTCCATCTCAAATGAATGAATGAATGAGCTTGTGTACACTTTGCTTAAACTCCCCCAATGATAACATTTTACAAAACTGTAACAATCACAACCAGGATATTGACACTGGTAAACTCCACTGGCCTTATGCAGATTTTCCCAGTAAGTATGTGTCATTTCAATGATAAGACCACAAAAGCTTTGACCAAAGTTTACCGACCTAGCAAGTTGCCTGTGACCCGTGGGGAGCTCACCCCGCTGCTTCGTGTGTCTCTAAAACTGAAAACAGGTGAACAGGAGGAATTTAACCTTTCGGGGCATAATGTGGTAGGCGCCGTACTCATGTCATCATTTAATCCTCACAACAGGCCGAGCGCGGTGGCTCACGCCTATAATCCCAGCACTTTGGGAGGCTGAGACAGGCAGATCACTTGAGGTCAAAGATCAAGACCAGCCTGGCCAACATACCGAAACTACTAAAAATACAAAAAAATTAGACAGGCGTGGTGGTGTCCGCCTGTAGTCCCAGCTACCCGGGAAGCTGAGGCAGGAGAATTGCTTGAACCCAGGAGGCGGAGGTTGCTGTGAGCCGAGATCGCGCCATTGCACTCCAGCCTAGGCAACAGAGCGAGACTCCATCTCAAAAAAAAAAAAAAAGTAATAATAATAATAATCCTCGCAGCCTGTTTTACAGACGTTAAGAAAGGCGCAGAGAGGGTGGGCGTCCCCAGGCCCTCGGTAGCCCAGAGCATAGCCCGAAGGCCAGGCAACAAACTCAGATGGAGGCCGAGTGGGCCCGGAGCAGGGTCCTGCACAAAGGGCCTGGGCTCAGCGTTAGAGCGCGGCGCGACCCTACTCAGGCTGCAACGAGAGGGGTGAGATGGGCGCAGGGGATCGCCCAGAAACTGCTTGCGCCCCGCCCCGCCCCGTGCTCTCCTCCCCAGCTGCGCAGCCCTCGGCTGCCCCCTGCCGCCGCGGGGCGGACGCAGTAAGCCCCACTGTACCCACCTTCGCACCGCCCACCCCCGCCTCCGGATTGGCGGCTCCAGAAATCTCCAGGCCACCCGCCTTCCGCTACCGGATTGGCTGTGCCTGGGTGCTGAGGCCCAGCCCATTTCCCCGGGTCCTTTGATCACGCGCCTGACGGCTTTTCCGGGGCTCGGGAGCCAACCGAGGGCGTTCCTGTCGGGGCTGCAGCGGCGGGAGGTAAGGCATGGCCAGGCCGGCTGGGCTGCAGAGCGCCGGCACGGGTCCACGCCTCGGGGTGTCGGGCTTCCAGGATGTTAGGGCGCGGGGCAGCCCCTCCGCGTTCCCCAACACCCCCCCACCACCGGCCTGAGCCTCCCAGCGCCGTGAGAACTACCTCCTGTCCGCTGTTGCTGGCCAGCATCCTAGCAGCGGCCTGACGCCCTCCCCACCCTGGCATGCCCCCTTGACCTGGGACGATGAGCATACGACTGGGTAAGGGCAAGCTCGATGCCCCGTGCCCCACGGACACGGGGGTAGGTCCCTCATACCGTGCCCTCTGATAGAGACTCAAGCGAACCTGGGTCCCGGACCTTGGGCCATCAGCGCGCAAACCGCCCCAGGAGGATCTCTTTGCTTCTGTCATGGGGACTGACCCTCTCCACCTCCGCCTGTCAGCTCAGGCCAGGAGGGGAGGGACCTGGGCGGAGCCCCGGGTGGAGACAGGAGGAAGGTGACATCATCTCGAAGATACAATCCAGCTTTACCCACTCGTGTCCACCCTGACACACGAGACCGATGGGGGAGAGAGTGTTCCAGCTGTATGTCCGAGGTGACACCAGGGACAAGGGCATAGAACCCAGGCATGGGACCCATCACCTGAAGTGGGATTGGACCAGGATGGAAGCGGGCTTCTTCAGATGCTCCCACCTTACTCCCGGCTGCAGTGCAGGTCCCTCCTGTGTGGCCCTCATTTATACATTTTGCTCCACTGGACAGGTGCTGGCAGCCCAATGCCTAAAAGGGCTGGGACAGGCGCCTGAAACCTGCACTTAATCTCTCCCCAGAAGTTGAGAATTTGAAATGTTTGGCCAACATCTGAGCTGGGCACCACCCTGATTTAGGGATAGGAGCTGGGCAGGACTCAGCCCTGGATCCAGGACTTCCCCTGATCCCCTTTCCTACCAGGATTTGCCAAGACTCGCTGGAGGGTTACACCCAGTACATCTACCTGGAGGATCCCTCCTCCCAGGATTTGACCTGGGACCCGTTGTCTGAGATCTCCAGCTCTGGGGGAGGGATCCAGGGTCTGGATGTCACCCTGGGTGCAACTGCTAACCTCTCTTCCTCCTCCCCAGGGAGCCCAGTGGAGGCGCCCTCCCGAGGCACCACTGCCCATGCTGACCACCGAGCCCTCCAGCTGCCGATGTCATGAGTAACACCACTGTGCCCAATACCCCCCAGGCCAACAGCGACTCCATGGTGGGCTATGTGTTGGGGCCCTTCTTCCTCATCACCCTGGTCGGGGTGGTGGTGGCTGTGGTAAGGAGCCCTCATGTACACACACAGACACCCACAGCTTTGCTAAGGCAGGGGCTGCACAGAGGCCCCACTGTCCTGTTGAGGGAGTGAAGGGTGTGGAGGTGGAGGTGAGCCTCTCTCTGCTTGTGGGCCTTCCTGGGCTCAGCAGCCCCCACAATGCTCTGTCTCTGTTGCAGGTAATGTATATACAGAAGAAAAAACGGTGAGTGTCCCTGTCCCCACGCCCGCCCTAATCCCACAACCATTCTGAAATTCCTGCTCATAGCCTCTGAATTCTCTGTAAGATGTCCTTCAGCCATCCTGATACAAGCCTGAAATTTGTTTTCCCTGTCCCAGCGTCAGCTTACTAGGGAGAGCTCCTTTGTAGAATCAGGGTTGTATTCTTAGAGCTAAAGTGTGTCCCAAAAGGCATCCATTGGAAGTGCCCCTGCCTGGGAGAGGGAGGAGGCTAGGCAGCCAGGTGTTTGATGAAGGTTGGGGGGTCTCCTAGGCTGAGTCCCCCTCCCCTGCTCCCCAGGGTGGACCGGCTGCGCCATCACCTGCTTCCCATGTACAGCTATGACCCAGCCGAGGAGCTGCATGAGGCTGAGCAGGAGCTGCTCTGTGACATGGGAGATCCCAAGGTAAGCACAGGGGGAGAATGAGGCAAGTGGGGCGGTCAGCTGTGTTCCCAGCCACTTTTCCACATTGAAACCAGAGCCTGGTTCTGCTTACTTGGGCTGTAACTGAGTGCCGCAGACTCCCAGGGGATACAACCCAGCCTTGCGGTGTGGTCTCCCCTCCACAGGTGGTACATGGCTGGCAGAGTGGCTACCAGCACAAGCGGATGCCACTGCTGGATGTCAAGACGTGACCTGACCTCCTTGCCCCACCCTTCAGAGCCTGGAGCCCTGGACCACCTGGCGCCGTTGTGGGACTCTTCCCCTGCCCACCTGCAGTCACTCAGCTCCTGCTGCTGGGTACCGGGCCTCCACTTCTCCCTCTGCCCACATTCAGTGGCACCCACTTCCCAGGCCCTCACCATCACCTCACTGTCCCCAGGCCTTCTGCCCTTTGTGGGTGTCAAGCTCACCACCCACCCACAGGCACTCAATGGAAGGAGCTTTTCCTTCTGGGGTGGAGGCAGCTGGGAGACAGCTTTGCTTTCTCCAGCCCTCCTGGGCTTGGCTTGGGCATAAATACCCAGGGCTTTGGAGTTGTTTCCATGGTGATGGGGCCAGATGTGTAACATTCGGTATATATTTTGTAAATAAAACGTTTTGTGACTAGGAGTTGTTGATTTCATCAAAGGGGGCTTCAAATGACCTTTCCTGGAGGCAATTCCAGTGCTATTTTCCCTCCTTCCTGCAGCCTGAAGGATGGGGGCAAGAGCGAAAGTGTCACCCACCCTACCTGCCCCAGACTGTAGGGGCACACACCACAGGAGACTCCAGTCCAGAAAAGGATATTTTTTATTCAAGTAACTGCAAATAGGAAACCAGAGGGGGAGCCCCAGGCTGGGACAAATCATGGCTACCCCTCCCCGACAGAACAGGGGGAGGAGGTGGCCCTACACCCTTTGTGGTCAGTTCGGGCCCCCTTGCTCACTCTGCTGCAGCATCCAAGGGGCAGGGCCCCACCTTCCCTGGGACTGGGGTAGTCGGTCACCCAGCCTGCCATGCCCCAGCCCCGCTTCCCCATGAAGAGTATCTTGGGGTAGGGTATCGTGGGCAGAACAGGAGGCATTGAGGATGAACATTTGGCGCTGATAGCAGCAGCAATGATGGATGTCAAAGAATGGAACATTGAACAAAAAACAACACAACTGTCCAGAGGTAGTTTGTGAACAGAGGAAAAATGGAACCAGAACCTTGGGGGACAGGGAGGAGCAGGAGGGTTGGGAGTGGGCAGGGTGAGCTCCTTGTTATTGGTGCCCCATCTGAGGAGGGGGAAATGGCCGAGTGGCAGAAGCAAAGTAGGGTGGGGGGAACAGCTCCAACCCATCTCAGGTGGTAGCCACAGGGCTCACAGGCCTCACCTGGACAATAAATGACTGCCATCTCCATCACCACAATATATACTCAGATCCCAGGCAGAGGGCCAGGGGGCTGGGACCACAGTGAAAAGGGTGTAGGGGACTCATACCCCTCCTGCCTTCCTGTAGCCAAAGGGGGCTGTCCAACCTAGTGGAGGGACTAGGAAAGGTGGGGAAGGACGAAAGGTGTGAGCCCTATGTGGTGACAAAGAGTTTGGCGGGGGAAATTCTGGGGGCCAGCACCCCCCTCCATTGGCCACACCTGCTGCTGCCAGGGCAGTGGAGTAGGGCGTGCCAGGATGAGATGGGGCTTGGGCCCCTTTTAAGGCCAGGGGAACCCTCCCAGGCCCCACTATGGGAAGCCAGAGGGAACAGTAGAGGAGCAGAGAGGGCGCCCCCAAACCAAAAGCCCAGAGAGCAATGTCCCCATCACCAAGGGAGTGGGGAAGCAGCAGGTGCAGGGTGCGGCTAAGTGGGATGTTAGCCTTGTCCAGGAGGGCATGTGTGTATGCACGGGTGGGCGGGGGAGCTGGGAACTGAGGCCAGGGGAAAACTGCTCCCCACTCAGCCCATGGGAGCCCTGCAGCGGCTGGTGTGCTGTGTAGTGTGGTGGTGAGGGCACAGGTGGAAGATGGGGGTGGCGGCCGGAGGCGGTGGTGATGGTGGGCCTGGGGAAGGGGCGGGGGCGGTGGGAGCGGAGCAAAGCTGTCCAGTCCCAGAAGGAAGCTGCTCCTCCAGTGAGGAGCAGGCGGCACGCACGGTCACTGCTCCTCCTCCGAGGACTCCTGCGAGATGCCCTCCTCTTCCTCCTTCTCCTGTGAGGTGGGCAGTTGTTGGTGTGAGCTCTGGCCTGGCCACCCTCCTTCTCCACCCCCAGAGGCTGGCCCCCACCCGCTCCCTGCACTCCCTGGCTCTCCCGAAGAGGGATGAGTCAGGGCTGAGTGTGTGGGTGACTCAGCAACCTCCACGGCCCGGCTTCATTCATAAAAATAATTTAAAAGGAGGAAAAAACCCCACACACATGCTGCTCTCACCCAGAGCCAGAAGCCAAGCCCCCTTGGCCCCCAGGCCCACGGAGGGCAGAGCTCAGGGCAGCACTGAGCTCCAGGATGTGACTGGCTCCCTAGGGGAGAAGAGGAGGTGGGGAGGAAATACGAAGGGATGGATGGAAGGTACATGAGATCTGGTGGGTGCTGGGAAACCAGGTCCTTGGCCCACAGGGACAGGTGCTACGCTGTGGCGCCCTGGCCCTCCGGGGTGGCCGAGGGCTGACCCCAGGTCGGGGTGGGGAGGAAGGGGAAGTGTGTGCCGCCGGGGCCACTCACTGGGCGGGAATGTCGGGACACCACACGGGGCTACAGCCCCCGTGCCAGGCACAAACTCCAAAACAGCTTGTTTCCTGTTACTCACTCCTGGGGCCTGGCCAGCAGCGCCCCCTAACCCCCCCACCCCAGCGGCAGCTCAGCTCGAGGAATGACAGCTTCAGGGAGTTGAGAGGGCAGGCTGTGGATAGGAGAGAACCAGGAGCTGAAAGGCTGGGGTGACCCTAACTGCAGTGGCCCCCTAGAGGCAGCCTCCTTACTCAGCCCACTGAGCCTTTCTGCCAGCTGTTTGGGGGCCCAGAAGTGGATGGTGCCCCACTGTGCCGTGTGATGGATCACACCAGACCTCCACTGCCGACCCCTCCCAGGGCCCAGCTCCTTCACTGTTTCTTTCTCAAGAGGATCATAGGAAGGATAAACCTTCCCCCTATGGCTTCCTTTCCTCATCTCTAATTGAGGGAGACACAGACTAGATGACTTCCAAGATCTTCCCTAGAAGTTCTAAGTATTCTAGGAGCAGGAGAGGGAAAGACCCCACACACACAACCAGGGCAGGTCAGGGGGATGTGGTCTGGTTTGTACCTGGGACCCCTCACTTCTCATGGGCACAGACCTTTAAAGGCGCAGGCCAGGCACCTTCCCCTCTCCGGACTTCTGTAAAATCTGATATCACAGCAAGTCAGGGAGAGCCTTTCCATAAGGGGTGCATAGTATCAGATGCTGTGTGTTCTTAACACCCTCCCCCAAAAGAGCCCAGGAGGCCAGCAGCAATCTGCTTCTTCACCTACCAGTTTTTTGGGTCTGCCCCTTGGTTTCCTTCCTGGAGTTGTGGTGGTTTTCTAGACGGTTAGAGAAAATATCTCCTAAGTCCAAACTGCTCAATAGTGCTCACCGGATGCCTGATGGTGAGGGAGGGGCAGACCCACCTGCCTGTTCAGGGCGGCCCAACACTCTCACCCAGCAGGCCCACCCGAGTCCAGCTGGCGATGACTGGCCAGCCACATTTGCCCCCTCAACATACACACACGCCCCCTACTCCCGCCTCCACCCATGACTCAGAGGATATGAGTCGTGTCTTAGAAAAAATAAAATAAAAAACAAAACAACTTTTCTGAAAGGCTGATGCCACTGTGAATCTGGCCTTTGCTGCTTGTCCCCACCCCTTCAGGCTCCAGGGGACCCCAAGGGGAGAAGCTAACATTCTCAGCCCAGGTGCTGGCAGGGACCCTCCACTCTCCCCACTCTGCCTTTCTCTAGATCAGGAAAGCCATGGACCTCTGACCTGATCTCCCCATTGTCTGGGCAGGACCAACCTCACAGAAGTGAGCCCTCAGTCATCGCCCCACTTTCCCCAATTAGCAAAGGCCCACTGCCAGCCCTGTGCCAGGGAAGGGGGTGCACAACTGCATCTGCCCCTTGGTTTCCTTCCTGGAGTTATGGTGGTTTTCTAGACCGTTAGAGAAAATATCTCCTAAGTCCAAACTGCTCAACAGTGCTCACCGGATGCCTGGTGGTGAGGGAGAGGCAGACCCACCTGCCTGTTCAGGGTGGTCCAGCATGACTGAGCCCTTCCCCCAGACCTCCCCACAGCCGTGGCCATGAGCAAACAAGAGGATCCTCTGCTAGTTACCCACCCAGGGGCAGCCCCATCTCAAGCCTCACCCGGGTCTTAGCAGCGCCCTTGTTTTTGCTTCCCTTTGGTCGGCCCCGAGGTCTCTTAGGTGTTGGCACTTCGCTGGGTTCCTTCTGTAAAGACAGAGGGGGTAGTCAGGAACAGTCACCACTTGTTTCAACCCCCTCAGAAGACAGAGCCCTCTGCCTCCTCAACAAGGTTAAATCAGCAAGAACCAAGAACCACCCCGACCTAGGAATCCCTTCAGGATCCAAAGCCCCAGTTTGATCGTCTTTACCAAGCGCCTCCTACTCCTTCCCTTGCTTCCCTGCAGGTTTCTAAGACACAAAATGACAAGAGCCCAGAAGGCCCCTAAGAAAGGCATTCTGGGGACAGAAACACTGGTAGGTGGTTTTGCCCAAGTCTCAGTTTTGACACTGATCTTGGGCAGGACACTTAATGCTGGAGCCTCAGTTTCTTCATCTATAAATGGTGAAGACTTCCTGGGATTACATCGGTAATGTATGGTTATCTAGTACTGGGCCATGATCACTGCCCACCCTCTCAGATGACCTATGCTGGACACATACTCCCTGCCTGCACCTGCAAACCTGGACCCCATCCAGGCTGCCCCCAGAGAGGGGGAATTATGCCCGGACCCCAGAGATCTCTGCTGCCATTGTCACTGAAATTTTAATAAGCCCTAGATAGAATAAAAAGCTGCTGCATAATGCATAGAAGGTGTGCAGTGAAGGCGTGCCAGCTACTGTTTCCTAGGGGGCTGCCCATAACCAGGGTCCAGTAACCCAGCACCCCTCCTGACAGCTCCCACTGACCAGGGCTAACAGGCAGGGGAAGAAGGGAGGCTGAGGGAGCTAGGCTAAGGGGATGAATGCCCCCACCACAGGCTCTGAAGGTGGCTGCCGAATTCTGACACAGCAGACTCCTCACAGCTCATGTCTCCCTAGGCCCAGGTCAGCACAGACCACTCTCCACCTTACAGACAGGAAAAACCTGCAGGTGAACAACCTACCTCGGGTTTAAGGCGCAGGAGTCAACCTCGACTCCTCTCACCTTTTCCCCAGGGAAGGGAAGTAACTGAGCTTTACCAACAGCCACCCCTCACTTGGGTGACAACTGCCTCTGTAAGAGGCCAATACGTAGTCCCCCATTCCCAAGTGGCCATGCTCTCTAGGGTGCCCCACAGTGCCAGGCTGGCAGCCTCATCCTTTCATGGGACCTTGTGGGGAGAGCAGCACCAGGGTTCTCAGGGGCACTGCCACCAGCTCCCCAACATTTTTCACTTCTTGGGCTTCAGTTTCC